CTCTCGAGGGACGCCTCCTGGCTGGTAAGTAGCTTCGCTCCAAAGCACCGGCTCTCCCGTGTCTTGTGTGCAGTGCAGCCCAGGGTTTCCCTCTGCAGGAGCTCGTGGGATAATGCTGCGCTGGGGTGGAGGGGCGAGTTTAAATTCCGCTCTGTTAGCAGGAGTCAAGCCGAGGGTCATACTGCAGCTGCATCCAAGTCCATTTAGGACACGGTGAGGATGAGCGGCACGGGGAAGCTGTAACACCACCGGTATTAAACATCCTGCCCATCCTCTGCTTGAACTTCTACCCAGGGGGAAGATGCAATCCCTAAGTTCTCAGATACTGGGAAACGGGCTGCCCTCACCTTCTCCCCTTGGGCCCGGCCAGCTGCCGCACGCTGGGACGACTGCGGAGACGGACAGCGTGGGTGGGCTGCGGCGCCCATCCTCTGCTTGAACTTCTACCCAGGGGGAAGATGCAATCCCTAAGTTCTCAGATACTGGGAAACGGGTGATTTATTTCAGCTTGCGTGAGCAGAGTCTGTCCTTTCCTAGTGTGCTGGGTGTCGGAACGGGCTGCCCTCGCCGCCTGTCCCCTTGGGCCCGGCCAGCTGCCACACGCTGGGACGACTGCGGAGACGGACAGCGTGGGTGTGCTGCGGCCACCTGCATCCGAGCCCATCCAGAGCTTCACTCTGCGGTTCCCTGCCAATTGCTGATGGACACTCAAAATGCTGGCTGGTCTGGGTGGTGGTTTTGGTGAATTCCTAAATTACTGTTACTGGTTGGTCTTCTCACACCTGCATTCCTGTCAGATGCTTAAGCTGTTGTAGAGGCCAGTGCTGTTGCCTATCTTTAAGCATCGTCTCCTCTCCAAAGAGGTAATTCCTTAGCTCTGGCCAGCCTTTACCTGTGGGAGAATATCTTCAGACATCTTTTGGCTTTTTACCAACTGCAAAGCTGCACTAGGGTGAATTTTCCTCCCTCTAATTTTGACTTTTTAAAGGACAAAATTCTTTTTAAGCTTACTAACAGATCCGCTTGAAAAGGTGGATCACAAGTAGCTGTACTCTGCTGCTTAGGTTTTATTATTCATATTGTGGAATTTTACAGTGGAAAAAAAAGTAACACAATTAGTGAGCGTTAACTACCTGCCTTCTTCCTGTTGGTGCCACACGAACTCGTATGCTGCGCATACGTTGAAAGTTGTGTGGGCTGCTTTTCTCCCCTAAAACTGTGCTTTAGTGACAGAGGAGCATGGAAAGCATCCCTAGAACCCACACGTGCTTCACCCTCCGCGCTGTGGGCCTGCGGAGGGGCCACCTTTGCCGTGCTTGGCCACCAACGTCCCGTCGCTTGGGCCAGTGCTCCCGCTGTGGAATGTTCTGTGTGAGCTGGAGAAGACAACACAGCCATCAGCCTGTGCTCCCCACGCACTGCCTGGAGAAACTTCATCCCGGGGCGGAAAGAGGTGGATTAGTGCGGATGGAGAACATGGGGAGATGTTAAAACAGTATTTGACACCAGAGACCGTAGCTCTGGTGTGTAAACAGCCTGAGTGCCGAAGTTTGAATTCTGTAGGGGGACTTTCATCATTAGTACTGCGTAACAAGCAATCGGCTTGCATGGCTGTGAGGCTTTTGAAAAAAGTCTGTAGTGCTCTGTAGTAATAGCTGTGGTGCAGGGATAGCTTTTTTTTTACTATTTAAAAAAGAAAGATCTGAGCAATACACGCTCACTACGAACCAGGGTCAAGTGTAGCTGCCTGTGGTACAGCAGCGCTTCAAGTTTCTAGCATCAACTAGAGCAAGAAATTGAAGATCTTTTAAAGTGTGATTGGAATAATTTTAAAACTATACAAACAAAATACCGGAAGAAATGTTCTATTGCTTTAGAAGTTGGAAAAAGTACATGATGTCTCCAGCAAAATAACCTGTCACAAGTGAGAATTCATGTAGAAATTGGGTGGGGAGGAGTTGTGTTTTTAAGTGGCTTTCTAAAGCCACTATTCCAAAGAACGAGAGGGAAAGGGGGAAGAACCAAGTTTGCCTGCTATAGAAATATTTTGAAGAGATCAGAGGAGCAGCAAAGTTCCCTTAGGACAATTTCCATGCTGGTGGTGTAAAACAAAGCCTCCCACGCAGGGGAGGGATGATAGTACAACCTGCAAACCCTTCCCGCAACGTTAAACGCTGGAACAACCACATCACAATGCTGAAACATCGGTGTGGGGGTGCGCAGAGTGGAGTACCCGTAACCATCCGGATTTCGATGGGCTCGGTGGTAACACAGTAGGGAACGTGGCATTAGGTCTTCCACTGCTGTCGGAAGTTTCATCTTGGCTGCATGTTGTAATACTTGGCTGAGCTTTGCAGGGAGTTTCCTTAGGGGAGGGCGTCTGTTTGTTGACATCTAGTGGGAGAGCTCATAGTTCTGTCTGTGTGAGCATACCATAGTAATGCTGTTGCTTAAGCCCTGCAAGGAATGCACTTCTTTCTGCCAGAGGATTCGTCGGGTTTCACTCGGGAAATGAGTGGACTCACCAGCTCTGTTTGCACCTCTCGGGCCTTTTAGCCCATGCCTCCTCAGTAAAAATCCTGTTGCTGACTCACAGGGCAAAAACGGGGAATATGATGTCTTGTTTTAAATACCATTTCTAACCTCAAGCCCAGGGAGGTATCACCTCTCTGTTCAAAAGTGCCGAGTAGAACAGCCACCGAATACCTTCTGCCCGTGGTGCAACTCCCTCTTACTCTGTTGGGCTGGATAGGCAAATGCTCAGTAGTTGTCTGCAACCTTTGATTTTACATTTGTTTAAGAGTGTTCGTCGTAGGTACCACGGAGCTACTGCTGAAACATTGCAGTGCAAAATACAGTGGGCAGTCTATAGAGTAGGCATTGACTGTGCCTTCTCCAAGCTGGTTGTGGACTGCAAGGCAAAGCAAGGTGAAACTCCTGGTCTGGGAGAACACCCGTTCCATTATACGTCCCATCGGTTTGCTGAGCTCGTGGCATCTGTTCAGAAGATAAATGTCGGCACAGTGCTCTCTGAAAAGAGTACATTTTCCTGTTAACCCTTCGAACACACACTTGCTGTAGTTTCACACCTCTCAGAAGGTAGCGTAAGCCTTGGGCTGTGCTGACATGTCTGCTGAGTCAACAGAAGAGCGAGCTGCCCCGCTCCTTCCTCATCTCAGCTGGGTACTGCTGTGTGCTGGAGCCAAGACCCAGGAAACGACACAATGAGGTGGTTCAGCTGGATGATGTGGCACAACTCTAATCTCAGGAAAACTCAAAACTTCATAGGACAAAAATTCTGGTTTCTCAAAATAGGATAAAAGCGCTTTTATTTTTTTCTAGATTAGGTTCATCTACAGCCATCAGTTATTTGAATATGTAGGGTTTAAGTCTTGATTCTTTGCCAAAATACACGATCTGTGTCCTCCAGATGCACTGAGGCATCCTGTAAATTTGGAAGAGTAGTTAGTAGATGTTCTGAAGGACTAAATAACCTACGTGTGACCGAATTAGTACGTACAGAACCTCTTCCATCAACTCCTCTGATCAGCTAGGTAGTTTTAACTGGTAGGAGGGAGTCTTGTAGTTCAAAACAAACTTCCATGAAGCTTGTGGACTACTTGCACGTTTTCTGTTGGCTAAAGAAGCACAGAATTGCATGCCTTACTGTGGAAGCCTTTTGAAATAGTCATGATGTCAACCTGCAGAATAAAGGGTGCTTCTGCATCTTTCTTGGACAGTGATTCTGCTGCCCTTCAGCCCTGGGAACTTCAATCTACCTCAGTGCTAGTCCATTTGGTTGATCATCCGAGTACGTATTCTTACTGTGATAGAGCTGTGTGTAACAGGTTTGTGGTGTGGATACTTTTCTCGTGTATAGACACCAGCTGATCGACAGAAAACATCCTGGGGGTGCTATTTTTACTCTTATCAATGTAGTTTTTGTTAACTAATTGGAACTGATCATTAAAAAGGCAGCATATAGAGGATTATGTACAGATTTAGAATTTCACATTTTGTACTTCTGCTGTAAACCCAAAGAACTGGATGTCTTGGCACTGTGAACTGAATTTTCATGTTATGGTTGTGAAACGTGAGCTGTGCTGTTGTGCCTTTCTCTGAGTGACAGGAGCGTGCTTCTGTCCTGCCTGTCTGAAAAGGTACGAATGTGTGCACAAGATGCAATAAACCGGGGGAAGAAGAGCACGGAAGCAGAGTAATTCCTGCAGTGTTACCTGTGCCCATGTTTTGGATACTCACCTCTTTCTTCAAGACTATTAACTCAAAATAGTTGGGCTTTTTACCTCTGTTGAGTTCTGTCTGTTGAATTTGACCAAACCAAAGCCACCGGCAGTAGTTCTGGATCCCGCTCTGCCCTCCTGGCACTGCCGAAGCCCTATGCACAACTAGTACGCTGCTAGCGGGGTAGGGGAGGGAGAGGGCACGAGGAGAGATGTTTTGGGTCACACAGGAGGTCTCCCTAGCTCAGTCTCTAGGGAAAACCATAGGAATAATGCAAGGGTAATAATTCTGATGTATAGCAAAATCTTCCCGTTCTTTGATGTTATTTAATGTGTTATGGCAGCTGTTTGGTTTTGCACTTCAAGGAGTTAAATCTAACGGAGAAGAACAACTCAAGGTGTCTAGTCCTGTGGCTTCCTGTGTGCCAGCCCACGTTCAACACGTGCCCTTAGACGTAGCCTTGCAGAGTTCGAGAGCAGCGCCGCTTCTCAGTTCATCTTAACCCCTGGTTTCTGTGTTTGCGGTGAAACTGCCAGCAGCAGGAGCCCGTGTAAAGAACCCGGGGTTGGAAGCATATGCACGTGCACGTCCGGAGGGAGGCTGCAAGGCCCTGGCCTCCCAAAATGAGGGACTACCGCATCAAGTCTCTTAAACGCTCCAAATCTTCCCCCATTTGAGGGGAGTTTCTGTTGAAAGTGTGGGCTGATTGTCGGGGTTCTTGAACTAAACCTCACGGCAGTGCTTTGTCCCCTTCAGGTCCATTGCAGAACAGAGAGATTGGGCAATTTAGACCCTTCCTAGGAATTTCTGCTCTTGTTAGAGTGGATCTGGAAGGTGAGGAGGGACCATTTGGTCCTTGGTGCAGCTAGTGACAGTTAAACTGCATCTTTCTCAGGAAGTGTCCTGCATTTTGCAGCTTGGCTTTCTGGGCTCACTCATCTGCAAACCTTTGCTAGTTAAAACCACTAAAGATTAACTTCTTAACTGCTCAGTGGCTACCTATGGACTTGTGAGGGGAAAAAAGTTGGGGTTTTTTTTGAGAAAACTTGGTTTTTCTAATTGACACAGTTGTATTTCAGGAGTTGTCTTTTGGTAGTTTCCATCAGAACCTTTGCTTGAGCTCTCAGGATACATGTGGCAGTGTTAGTCCTTTCATGTCTTGTAACTGATGGTGTGAGTTTTTTTTCAGGGGGTCTGGAGGGGTGGGGGTGTGTGTGATCTGGTTTTGGGGGTTTTTTGCTGTGTTGGATTGTTCCTGTCAGTGCCAGAAGGTGGACAGATGAAATGCAGTTTAAAGAACAGCTTGCTTTTCAGTCCTGTGCAAGTGTAACTTCAACGTAGGTAAAAACTGGAGCCTTTGCTTATGTTTTGTACATTTTCTTGTATATATGTGTCAATTATTCTATTAACAGTAGGAAAAAAAATGTTTAAATGGAAAATTTGAATAGTGTGAATAGAATAGTTTGCAAATGGTGGGCATTAGATGGCCACTACATGAGCTGTAATATTAATGCTTAATTCTTCTATAAATCTAAAATTTAGCCAGGAACTGGTTAGGAAGATCTGGAAATAGTTTATGGCAACATCATCAGTGTGATATTAATGCTAGCAGCCAATTAGACTGAGTACCTGTTTAAATATTTCAAGCAGCTTTTGTGCTACGTAACTTGTCTTCTTTGCTTGCTCTTTAAAATAAAAGGTCTGAGGGAAAGGGTTTATTAAACTTCAGTGCTACTAAAGGTAATGGTGCTGTTTCAAATGCATGGGCTGTCGTCAGGTCAGCCTCTGCGATAAACTGGTGCTGCAAGGTGCTATGACAATTTTCCCATTTAAATGTAAGATTTGGGTCCAATTGCCTTTTTGTGTGTGTAACAGTTTGGAGTGGTTTTGAAGCTTCTCACTCAGGAATCTTTGAAGGTGGTGCCTTTTTTTTTTTTCCTTCTTGTGTAGATTGTAAATAAAATTTCCAGTCTTTAGAGCCAAAGTGGAACTCTCTTAAACTCCTCAGTTGGCCTGTGAGACTACTCTCTGAAGGATCAAAGACACATTTCTTTAAAAAAAAATTGTCAACCTCTGCATGGATTTTAAAATTACTTGTGAAAAGGCTAATGAAAGTAAATAGCTCAAATTGCTTACCTGATAGTTATTCTCTGGAGATGTCATTTCACAGGCTTTTCTTTACAGTTTGGTAACTGATCTTCATGAATAGGGAGTTATAAACTTAAGCCTTTAATACTGTATTTTCTTCTTTATTTTAACAGCTCAAAGGGAAGAGAAAAAGCATGACGATAGAGCAGAGTCTACATCAACATCAAAGAAAGCTGTTGCATCTGTAATGGAGAAACAGACCTCTTCTCTGGCTAAAAATCTTCCTTCGAAGAAGCCCCCATCCTTCTCTAACACATCGCTAACTAAACAACCACTTAAACCTTCTGCTGGAAGTTTCAAAGGTGTAATTCCTAAGAAACCTTGGCCTTCATCAGGCAGTGTTCCTTCATCAGGCACTGTTCCTTCAAAACATTCAGCTGTTTCTCATGGCTCAGCAGTTTCCAAAAAACCATCTCCATCTTCCGTCTCGGCTGGAGGACTCAAAAAGCCTTCACTGCCTTCCATGTCTACCGCATCTGGAAGTAGTCAAGCAAAACCATCAGCTATCCCAATCCAGTCACAACCCAACTCGCAGATCCGACAAAATATTCGACGGTCCCTCAAAGAAATTTTATGGAAGAGGTGGGAATTCAAAGCACTTATTTTATATAGGAAGCTATAACTAGACATAAATGTTTGGCCTGAAGAGTTCTGTTTATTTCTTGATAAGCAATATTGAGGGATTTGATTTATACTACAAATTACTACAACTGGCATTTCAGGTTTATCTTTTAAAAAAAAAAATTAAATCCTGATATAAAATAAATGTGCATGTGGAAAAGCCTTTAAAAAAACCCAAAGAAACCTTACTGTTCCATGTAGATTGAGGCAATTACAGCTGAAGAATTAAATCACAGCATAGAAGCTTTTATAATGCAGGTACTCTGAAGTTTTAAAATCCGTGTTGGGAAATGTAGAGGTTGTAGGTAACATAGTGTAGGAAATACAGCGAAAGCTTAAAGGCTTATGGAGGTGGAGATTCTCTCCCCTGTCCAACATAAAAATCAGCCCCAACAACCCGTGGTCAGTGGACAACTGTATCACTTGGGAAAGAAAGAAAACCCAACTGGAAGTAAATTGTCGCACAACGATTAAAGCTCACGCCAGCCATCAGTACTTACTGCACGCTGGTGTTGTCTCTGAAATGGAAATGCTGTTCACGGTGGAAAATCTAGGACTAAAACTCCAGTGCTTGGGCTCCCTGTGTCCTTCACGGCAGAGGAATTCCTACGGTCAGTGCCGGGAGCAGGAGCGGTGCGCGCTGAGAAAGGCTCTGCCCCCCCTGGGGCCGCCGGCGGGAGGGGTGCCGTAGTTCAAGGTGCTGAGACAGACTTTGGCTTTGAGGTGTCTTTTAAAGGTGTCTTGAGTCCTCAGCGGGTGAGGAGCAGCCTAGGTTAGCTCCTCTGACAAGTTAGTTGTTTATGAACGCTGCCCGAAGAGTCAGGCCTAACGAATGCCTATGCCCTTCTTGCTTTTGACAGGGTCAATGACAGCGACGATCTGGTCATGACAGAGAGTGAAGTAGGCAAAGTAGCATTCAATATCGAAAGGGAGATGTTTAATTTGTTTCAAGTTACGGACAACAGATACAAGAGTAAATACCGCAGCATCATGTTCAATCTCAAGGACCCCAAAAATCAGGTTTGGAATTTCCTTCAACAGTAAACATACACTGAAACACACTTTTGGTCTTTAATGCTAAGTCAGACTCTGCCCTCAACATTAACAGTTTCAAGATAGAGACTTGGGAATTATGCTGTAAAAGATTATTATAAAGCCATTCGAATCTTCAACAAAAAATACTATCCAGTAGGACTTCAAAGCCTGCTTAGTTGGCTGGGTGTATTTATGAAGTTTGGGCATTTGCTGTGAGATATTTATTTACAGGATGGCTTTCTTAAAATAAATACAGGCTTGACATTCTGCAGTAGGTGTTAGTTACTGCCCATGTACATGGTCGTATTTCTGCTTTAAAAGAAAAAAGTGGGTACTGGTGCAGATGAAAATACCCACTAGGGAACACTTGAAGCTCTTTTTTTCTTAATTTCTATGATAGGTATGAAACAGGGAAGTGGCTGCTCAACTTCTGACATTCCTGTTCAGTTATATTGATAGATACTGACGATGATGAGGAAAACCCTTACTTTGTGCTTCTTTCATCCTTATTTTCTGCTTTCTGCACATTTCCAAATTTATTTATAAGTAGCCAATATTTTTAATAGAGAATTTAGAGACTGGAACAGGTTTTGCCTGCACAGCACTGCAAATCTTGTTAGTTGCCCAGGCAGGTTCTCTTCAGCATGGCAACAAAGTCTGTTTTGCTTTCAGGGACTTTTTCATCGTGTCCTTCGTGAGGAAATCTCGCTGTCAAAACTAGTGAGAATGAAACCAGAAGAACTTGTATCTAAAGAACTGTCTGTGTGGAAAGAGAAACCTGCTAAAGCAGTAAGTAACATAGTTCTCCCCTGTGTCCTTAGATGTGAATTAAGAACGAGTTTGCCAAACCATACCCCCACATTACGTTAATGCACCATTTTCTTCCAAATGAAATACCAGTAATGTTCCGTTTCAATATACGTTTTCTCTGCCACCAGTATAACAAAATAGAGAATAAAATTATAAATAGATGGGTTTTTTACCAAAATGGTTTTGTTTCTTTCAGACGATGGAGTCAAGAAGCAAAACCCATGAAATCAAGAAGGTAGCTGTAAAACGGGAACGTGTGCAAGTTGTAAATATGGAAGATTCTCCACCAGTGTCTGATTCTGATGTAAGTATTGATTGTTGTCAGTGTGAAGACATTGAGGGACGTAACTACGGCCTTTCACCAGAAGTGCAGGTTGCTTCAATGAACTTTGAGGATATTATCACCCAGTAGGGGTACTATGACCATTTTTCCTTTTAGTCTGAAAGGAGTGCAACAACCAAATGACGGGCATATTTTGCCTGTACTTCTAAAATGCTGTGTGTTTTTCAGCCCTTGCTGTCGATTTATAGAGAAATATTTTATTTGTGAGCATTAGCCTATCTACTTCAGAATACTGGGGAATGAAATGAGGACAAGTATTATTTGAGAACTCGGTATCTGACATGATCTGCGTTAACCAAGGCCTTTAATCATGGTTTACAAAGAATTTTTGATGGTTGAAATGAATGATTAACTGGAGTATTTTTTGTGTTTATTCACTTTTAGGAGCAGCAAGAGTCAAATCGAACTGCACCAAATTTGAACAGTGCTCCTTCTCTAGATGTTTTTAGCAGTATGCTGAAGGATACAACAAGTCAACATCGAGCTCATCTTTTTGACCTGAACTGCAAAATCTGTACAGGTATCTACAGTGCTGACTTTGTGCAAAGTAAAAGAATTGTTAAGAGTGCTGTTTATTTGGTTTTTTCCAAACTATTTAGTTGTTCAATAGTAATCAAAAAGCTTTTAAAATACATTTATAGGTCAGATTTCAGCATCCGAAGATGAAGTACCAGCTAAGAAGGCAAAGACAGTGGCTCCTGTTAAAAAAGTGGAGTCGAAATCAAAACCAGAAGTTCAGCCAAAGTATGAAAGTTCTGCACCAACCCCAGCGGCAGAGCCTGCCAAAGAGGACGCCTCTGAAAACGCAATGGACATTGATGTAGAACCTGCAGCAGAAACAGTTTCTCAGTCAAACGTAGAAAATAGTTGCATTCCTACAACTCAGGGCCATGACAACACAGGTACTTCGGTACCTGAAGAGGCTTCTCCTTTTCCTGCCTCTTGTGCCGGCGGAGTTGTCACGACCGTAACAGTTTCTGGCAGAGACCCTAGGACAGCAATGAGCGGCTCCTCTGGCATTGGAGCACCAGCCCTGCGTTCTGGTCTTGCATTTGACAAAGTTTCAACAGTGGAAACAAAACAGGAGATTTCCAAACCAGTTACGACTGTCCCCAGATCAATATTAACAAAACCATCCTCCTCACCAGATCCGAGATACTTGGCAGTTCATCATTCACCCAGTATCAAGTGCGTATACGTCATAGTAAGCCAAGCTACAGAATGTTTAATGTGGTTATCTTCAGTGTCCCATGTTCCCCTCTCCCTGTCAAAAGGCACATCCAGCTTTAAAGTTCAGGTAGCCTGATTCAGATTTTTAATTCACCATCTCCTCATTTACCTTCTGTAGATGGTTGAATTTTCTGGGTGTCAGCGTGTGTTGGCAGAAAGCTTAAGCGGTGTGTTTCAGCAGATAAATAAAACTGGAAGGTGTTATGCAGGCTCAGAAGTCTGCATGTGCATTAATAGAGAGAAAGCGGGTGTATGTGGGAGATGCTTTAAAGACATTTCCAGATTTTCATCCTATGTTAAAATACTATTAGATCTGAGTTTACGAATATGAATTAAAATTAACTAATTGCTTAGCTTGAAAGGGAGGATTTCTTTCCTATTCTGGGTATATTCAGCAGTAAGGTTAAATATTGCAAAGTATATATGAAACTGCAGTTAAACCATTTTTTTCATAGCAAATTCTTTGACTTGAAATCTCTCACATGCATATTGTTGACTGAATGGGAAATATATAATTCAGATTAGTTTGTTACAGGGTCAGGACCAGAACAGTTACACTACTAACCTAATTCTATAGAAGTTGCATCTTCTGGCATCTTTTTGCCTGTCTGTGGTACACATTTGTTTTCTGTCTCCTTGCGTTTTTCACTAACACCAAGTTAATGGAAAACATTAACAAAGCACTTAGTGAAAAATCTGTTACTTGTTTAAAGTATTTGATCAGTTGTAGGAGGGGAAAAGAAAGACAAAAAGCAGGGACCTTTCTCATTTGTCTTCTATAACCTTTCTGGTTTGGATTTGTTTCGCAGTGCTGCAGAGCCACGCTCACCTCAAGACACTGATACGTCCCACTTTCTCTCTCGTCTCAACACCATTTGGAAAGGATTTATTAACATGCAGAGTGTGGCCAAATTCGTCACCAAAGCATATCCTGTCTCCGGGTGTTTCGATTACCTCAGCGAGGTCAGCACTGGCGTGTTTGTAGTTAGAATAAGTCTGTACTGCAATTCCTGATGCTAGGAAGGCTGGGGTCGCTGTGTGTACGTCGCTCTGTTGGAACTGTCGTGGTGAATGGCATCCCTCGAGGAAGAGGAAAAGTAGCTCAAGGGGAAAAAAACCCTAAAAATTCCTCACAAATTTGTGAAGAATTCTCACGTCTTTACTTATATTTATACACGTGGTAGGATCTGATGTGGAACAATACCTTTATTTCAGCTTCATTTTATTGAACAGACATTGTAGAGGCAGGATTTTAAATTAGCTGGTTTGTTGTGCTCTGGATCACACAATGATGTGATCTGTTACTGAATTTTGTGCGACTGTTTCTGAAAAACGCCATCCTCTTTAGTAACTGTCAAAACCCATGGGATGGTATTATTCTGGGAGGGTGCACATCGAAATGCTGGGACGGCATAGAGGTTTGTGCCAAAACAAATAAGCTTTTCTTTTTCTCTCTTTTCTCTGAAGTGCACAAACGGGTGATTTAGGACTTTTATTAGTAGGGTTGGTGGTTCTTTTTGGTGTTCCTATTGCTAAAGTGAGCTTCAGTGTCCTCATGACAGGAATCTCACTAGATTCATGTGACTTGTAGTCACGAGTGCAGCGTTTTCTGAGAAACTGGAAGTGTGGGAAAAATCTGGATTTCGCACAGAAGCTTCCCTACCAAAAGAAAGCCAGTATAAGGGGCACACAGGACTATTAGACATTTTGGGGCTGTCCTGGTTTGGGAATGCTTTTTGGTTCACATATACTGCTAGCTTTTTGGTAACATGCCATGATCAAACACCTTGAAATTCAGAAAGAGCCGGTCTGAAACTAGGAAAGTATGTATGAAAATTGACTGAATAGGGGGGCATGTTATCCACTGGGCTGCTGGGAGGGGGAACCTGCCCTGCTTTTATACATTAGTCTCTCTTGGTTTTTCTCATACTACCATCTAATACTTCTTGTTTAGGATTTACCAGACACCATTCATATTGGCGGGAGGATCTTACCGAAGACAGTCTGGGAATATGTTGGCAAACTCAAATCTTCGCTTTCTAAGGTATTCACTTAAAATCCTTTGCAAAACCCAGAAGGAAAATACGGCAATATAAAATGACAACTTTTTACAACCTTTTATACTATAAATCACTGAACAGCAAATACTGACACAGATCACACCTGGAAAACTACTGACACCACTTATTCCTCTGAAATTTCTGATTTATTGAAGAAACATGTTCATTGAGCTGCAGATCCTCTCGATCTCGCTCTCCTGCACAGTGGCTAAATCTTCATATTATTCATTCGTTTTAATGATCAAACATAAATCATCTATTTAGTATTGAAGGATGAAATTCAAGTTTTAAAGAAAAGGAACTTAGCATTTATTGTATGTAATAGATTTTACTATTAAATACACTCCAGAAGTGAAAAAATGATGCAGACTATACAGATACAATCAAGAAACTATTAATTTCAGCTTCAAGATGTTTAGTTTTATGGAAGATACACAAGTAATTTGTATTTCTGAAAGTGACAAACCTGTGTCTCAAAATTCTGTTTTAATATTACAGATTGAACAACAGTACTTGTTAAAGCTAGACTATTGCCTTGAAAACATAGTTGGAGTGATAAACGTACAGCGTACTTTTACCCTTGGAATTTTCCCCTTACCATTTTACGTGCTGGTGTGTTGCAGGTTGAAGTTTTTTTCCACTTTGCTTTTGTATTACAGGAATTGTGTTTGATTCGTTTCCATCCTGCAACAGAAGAAGAAGAAGTTGCCTATATCTCTCTCTACTCCTATTTTAGCAGTCGTGGTCGTTTTGGTGTTGTAGCTAATACCAACAGACATATCAAGGATCTCTACCTGATCCCCCTGAGTTCTAAGGACCCAATTCCTTCCAAACTCTTGCCATTTGAGGGACCAGGTAAGCACAAAACAGGGGAGGTTAAATGCTAGGTAAAATCACAAAACAGAGGTCAATCTGAGACAACTTATTGCTGAGTGTTTAATGAAAGGTTTATTCAATATTTTTATATAAAACCAATTTTTAAGTGTGTAAATAGGGAAAAATGAGAAATCCAGCTGTTCAAGACAAAATTGTCTGAAGTTTACATAGCCTTTCCAACAAGATGCTTATATGCTATTAGGAGGGTGAGCTTACCTGTAAAATCAGAATGTGAAACAGCCACTATATTGAAAAATACCAACAAAAAACCCCACCCTATCCTCAGCAACCCATAAATGCACAAAACCGAGGCCCGTACAAACCATTCACCGTCGCTTAAATCAAACAGGAAACTTTAGCCCACAGAGGACGAAGGAACCTGTGAGGACCAAGGTAATGTTTACGGTGGTTTTACTACGCTGTCAGTGTCTCATGCTGCGTATTATGCTGTACGTGCAGTGTGGTGCACAAGGTCTTTGACGTGTTTTGTTCTAGCTGGGGCAAACTCCGGCCAAATCACCGACTTCTGGAAATCGGTTTGTTGGAGGGAAAAGGGATCCATATCCTGTGCGATTAGCAGGTGGCAGACAGTAGTTGGTATAGGCAGGTTATATTATAATGTTCTGTTTCTAGATAAAGTTACCAGTGGTAATGTTTGGTGTGAGTTTTCTCCATGTTTGTGCGTTGAACATGGTGACAGAAGAACTGAGAATGAATTCAGCCACGAAGTGCCCTTCTGTTACACAGCGTGAAGGGTATGGAGGAGGTGCATACACTTGGTTTCCAAATAACTATCTGGGGGTTTATATAAAACAACAGATTGAGAAGCTGAAGAACTACAGGTTACAATTCAGGGAATATACTTCATTGTCACAGCAATGGTTTGCAAAATACTAAACGGTAGGTGTGAGATGGCAAACGTGCGGGGAGCTGACCTTTCCGGGAAGCCAACTGTCCTCTACTCCTCAAATACAAGGTTAGGACCAAACTCAATAAAGCATCCTCAGGGCTTATGTGCAGGAGCATCAATGTCTGGGACAGGTTTTCATGTGTTAATGGGATATGACTTCAACAACAGATCATGATACATCGTTAGTTAAATGCTCTCCCCTTCTCCATGCAAAGGGTACTTGCTCTGCGTCCTCAGACAAGACTTTTCTTATACACTCCAGTCTGTCGTATCCATCCTTGAGCAGAGCCCACTCTGGGTCGTTCTTCTTAGGCTACAGCTAAAAGGCAGGATTATCGCTATCTAAATTACAGCAATATAGCTGTAATTGTTGAATCTCATAGCCATTAGCTTAGGAATTCTTGAAAGGTAGGCAGAAACTACTCTATTTCATAGCCAAGAAGTGAAAACAGAGTGCAGAACACTTTTGGCACAAGGATATAGCCAAAGCCTTAACTCAGGGACTGGTTTTTCCAGTGAGTACAAAAGAAATGCCCTCCGTTGTGGACAGTAACCCCAGGATGGGATGGGCCATTGAATCAGCTCTAAGGGTCTGCAGCCTTTTGCTGGGCTAGCAAACAACCTGCTTTAGGGGGCGCTTCCCTAGTAGCCTACTTGCATTCCTGTAATTTGTAATGTCGGCCTGGTTTTGCTGAGTTTCAAGTGCAAACTGAAGGGAATTGCTCAGAGGAAACACAGGCAGCGTTTGCAGGTGGAGGCAAATTTTATGAGTCCGGTTTTTCAAATGGAAATACATATTTGTAGGCAAAGCGGATTAAAGGATAGTAATAGAAGCAAGGCTCCAAAGGCAGAGAGAGGGTGTGTGATGTTAGAGTATCGTGGAAGACCCGCTTGGACTTCTGCCCTCAATTCACACTTCTTGGAAACCTCTGTGGCAGCTTTTACCTCGTGGCTGTGCTAAGCTGAGTTCGTATTTTAAAACCGGACCCAGTGTGGGGGGCAAAAAAACTCAGGTAAGCAGTTTTTCTGGTTTTGTGTATGTATGAAACCCACATCATAAAAGACATGTAATCCATACTTTTTAATGGCATCTGATGGAATTTACCGCTTTTTCTTTCTTTCGCAATCAATAAAAATATTTTCTGGAAAGTGGTCATTGTCTCCTTAAATTTAATCATGTGCCTGCACGTAGGGTCTAGCCAGGACTCAAAGCATTCAGACAGCTTGAGGTGATGCCATAAATGTGACAGGAGGGGGGAGGAGGGAGAGGACAATAAAGCCCTGCCACTCCAGAAATCCTAGTTAGAAGATATTCCAGCTCTATCAACCATTTCCATCAGGCACATGCGGATTATGAATTTCTCCTGTTTTCTGATGGGCTGGATTAGGAACACAACTGAGGACTTCTGAACTGCGCTAGTACCTAGAAGATCTACAGAAAACTGCCAGGGGTGATTTAAAACCAGAGGAAGGTTATCCATATTTAGACTTAATTCATCTCAGACATTTATTGCCAGATTTTTACCTGTCAGTGGGCTCTTCTGCACTGTCTTTTTGCCATGGTTTACGTACGTGAATGTCCTTGTCTGCCTCGCATACACACTTAAGGTTATTTAGCACTTGCATCTCTAGGTCTTAAAGCACTTGTAAAAAAAATTAGTATAGTCAGACCAAATTAACGATAGTGATTTATTGAGGGGTTTAGTGTCAGCTTTGGGAACATAATAAGTATCTTACATAGTTAAAATAAATGAATTTTAATAAACCAGCCATGTATCAGCAAAGGATTCCACAAACGTTGATACATCTCTTCTGGTAGTTTACAATAGAAGTGTGTTTTGTCTTAAAGTGTGGAGGCAGGAAATCTCCTCATGCTGTTTAGAATGCTCCTAAAAATTTCATCCAACGGAACAAAATTTAAACCTGACTCTGAACGGAGTCGTGTCTTCATCTCGGCAGATATCGCTAGGAAAAGTAGCCGTAGCATTAACTTTCTGTGCTGGCCGATTCCATTCGGCAAGTTACACTGCTGGAAGGGATCTGTATCCCGGGATTGAGGCTGCACAGATTTGATGATAGTTGTCCGTTGCTCTCGTGATTCATTGGGACAACTATTTAAATGGTGATGATAAAAATGTTAAGAATATCTTGTATTGGTCTCTGCCCTTTAAAAAATGTACATCGTGGGGATGCTTAGTCCCTTCCCGTGGGTTTGCCATCGATGTACAGAAATGGGGCATAAATCACCTTACAGGTAACTTCTTACCTGCTGCTGATGATAGGGAAAGAAATAGGTAAAACTGATTTAATGAAAACCTGTGTTTAAGGGTAAGAAAACTACGTATTCATCCCATACTAATATTTAGTACATCCTGTTTTAATGGCTTTAGTTACAAGATGTAACTCAGTAAAACCTGCGTGTGGACTTCAAACCCATAATAGGGTAATGACTGTTTTAGAAACAATTTAGCACCGAACACTACTAACTGGGGACACGGCTCGCAGCACTTTTAAAATGCTTGTGAAAGACAGTCATTGAGCAACAGTTGGAGGCTGCAGCCAGCGTTTTCGTTATTACCTAAAATTAGGCACTTAACCTGCTTATTGAAACAGAATGGGACGGACCTTTGAGATGCTGGTCTGGCCGTGTGTTTCCGTTCAAAAGAAGCACTTAGTTTTTGATCACTCAATTGAGTGAATGTAGAAGTCAGGTGAGGCAGAACTTTGAATATTTGTGTAAAATTAGAGTATCAAAAGGTAAAATTTTAATGCATTTATTCCTTGATGACTAAACTCTAAACAGATTAAATTATAACTAGTGTTCTTAACTTACTACTGGCATTTATCGTCTCGAAAGTGTATTAAAATTTTACCCTGTTTTAATTAGCAATGTGATCTCTTTCTCACAGGGATTCAAACCTGATTTTTCAGTAATTGCTGTTTATTAGGTACCCTGTCTGATGGATTTTTGAAGCCTATTTATTTCAGTTATTCAGTGTTTGAGATGCGTTGTGACTAATTGCATAAATCGCAAGTCTGAACATAAAACTGGGTAACCAGAACATTAACAACAGGACAGCAAATGCCTACGAGGAGTTTTTGGATAAACACCCATTTGTGAGGTACTCTGCAGTGGTCAGCACTGACCAGTGTGGAGTTGTTGCACATACACACTGATAAAGGAAAAATCTAAAGCCAATTCACACACAGTGAACCATTCCCGTGTCGAGTCTATTCCGGCTGTAAATTGTGAATGGGGTTTCTCCCAGTTGTCTTTTGAACTCTGCCTTGATCTCATATATGAATGTCATTAAGGTAGTCAATTAGTGTGAAGAGAGCTGCTGGGATTGCTTTAGGCTGTGGGTGCCAATAAGTATGTGGATAAGCCAAGTATTGATGTGGTCCTTGCTGAATCATCTCAGAGTCACTGAATTACTTGTTTCGCTCCTGTCCTGCCTACTTTCATGGTACGTCTCAGCATCCCTGCCCCTCTTACGGGGCAAATTCGTGTGTGCACTGAGTTATTAGAAATCCTAGTTCTGGTAATGAGAGCCAGTTCGTTTTTCTCATGTATTTATAGGTTTTATATTTTTTTTGTTAAATATGAAAGAAGGTGAAAATTGGCAACACTGGCTAACACAGTAATCTTGTACCTGGAGGAAAAATACTTCTTGGCGCCGAATTTTAGATGTACAAATAGGAAATAATATGTACTGCAAAATGAAAAAAAAAAGGTTATTTAGAACAGCATGTCCAATAGGCTCTTACCCACAGAATGTGTAAAACTTGACTGCTGAACTGTGAAATAAGACAAATTCTATTTTGGATTCTAGAATGCATTCTGTAGAATAACTGTTTTCCAAAAAGGTTTTGCTCAAATTTAATTATTCTTGTTTCTCAACAGAATGATAATGAGAGCCATTCCTGACAGGAAATCTCAAGCAAATATTTTAGATTTGCCTCAGATTCTCCTCATCGTTTTGTCTGGTCTTTTTGAAAGACTCTTTCTAGGGAGTAGCCAGACTTTGCTGGTTTCTTCATTAAGCGATTAAACCAGTTTTGCTGTGCTATTCCCAGTTACGGTCAGAAGAACATAGAATTTTAGAGGAGGGGTTTTTCCTCTCAATTGTCAAGAGACCTCAGAAAACTTTAAGTTATCTTACTTTATTTGAAAAATTACTGTCTGTCGTCTTACTTGTAGCTCGTTATTTGGAAAGTAAGGCTTATGTGGGATAAGATTTGAGTGTAAAAAGCAGAAGCGTCGGTGATTTAGGGGGACATTCTGTGAACAGAAGTTACTGCTTAATGAAATATATAGCAAGTATTGAAGATAACTAGTAGGCTTAAAACATAAAGCAGCTACGGTTTGGGTGTGCTATTTAGTGAGCTGCAAATAATTCCTGCAGTATGGGCTTTCACTGAAGAAGAAATCTTGGTTTAATTCAATGGGCTTTCCCTTGGCGTCACTTCAGCCAAGTTTTCATCTTAAGTAGGTTCTAACTGAATTTAGTGGAGACTTTAAGAGCCATGGTATCTTCCCACTGACAGAACTTCACATTTAACTGAAAAATAACTGGACTCTTACTGATTTCTCAGTGTGACATTAGCAGCCAAAGAACTTAAATACGTGAACATAAATCTAGGAAGACAGCTGATGTAATTTTCTCATTAGGTGGTAAAGAGTCCCCTTAAAACTTCAGTCGGTTGTTTCAGCAGAGCAATGTATCTGTGAATGTGGTTTGCTGATGGAAAAAAGTGTGGGGTTTTTTGTTGGTATCAGAACGTTTTCAGTGCTAATAATTAGATATTTTTAAATTGTTCCTTAATGAGCAGCTGGTTTGGTTTAATAAGAACAAGGAATATTGTGTATATATATATATAACACTCTTACTTACAGGATCTTGAATAGAAGTAACTGCATAGGTCAGATTCCTCACCTTTACCATTTAACTACAGTGAATATTATCTGCTACTTTACAGATTGTTTTGTGTTTCCGTATTACTGCTCCCTAGCTGGAGGCAAATGATACCTAATGGCAAATATGGGGGGAAGGCAGTGGTCCTCAAATGAGGACTTTTAAAAGTCATTAAATCCAGAAGTTAAAAAACCTTCTTTATACAGATTTTTCACATTTGCCACCGACTGTACGGTGGATTTATTCCCTGCCCTTTATTCTGGACATGTTTATCTTCCACAAGTGCCAGGGAAAACTGTGCCTGTAAAAGGAAGAAATAGAATAGATGAAACAGACCTACAGATCTTTGCATTTTTCCTCTTTATCAGAAACTTTCCCACCATCATGCTAAACTCTGGTCTGCTTAAGCTCCTCCGGTATGTTATCAGTTCCCCTGCTCCTGTGAATGTCTAGCTGGAAAAAACAAACAAACAGGGAGAGGGTTACAACCTTTAATACTGTTTCCAAACACAGTTTGTTTGCACTTATCTTTTCAGCAATTACTGTTATTTGTTTAACTTGGAGATAGACAAAATATTTACAGGCTGGTGTAAGTGTCAGTGTAGTCTTTCAGCACAGATTATACCAGGAATATACTTGGGAAGTTTGGCCCAGGTTTTCCCACTTGTCAGTATCTCTGTGTATACAACATGTCTGCAGACTATTGAAAAGTAAAGATATGATTTTTCAGAGGGAGAGGTAGGGGTGGTTGGACAGCAATAAAAATGATGTAACAAGACAAAAATAGAAAAACTTAAAAAGATAGAAACACAAAATATATGAAAAGTTTCTAGTGAAAGGGTAACTCAAAATCAGGTTTTTACATATACAATCTTTGTGTTCTCTTTCAGGTCTGGAGTCGTCTCGGCCAAATTTAATTCTTGGATTGGTTATCTGTCAGAAGACGAAACGTCTCGCCACTGGCCTCGAAACAGACAGGATGGAGGAAAAGCGAAGCAGAATTCAAGCACACGAGGACACGGAAACACCACTGTTCTCTAAAGGGCCACTAGCTGCTTCGCAGGAGAAGAAAACTCCGAAGTACACACTTTATTCGGGAGAATCGGCCATCAGTACCACACCACCTGGATCTCCTCCACCTCCACCCCCACTTTCCGTTCCAGACACCTCGGCCGTTACGCCTTCAGTGTTAAAAATACTGTCCTCGATTAAAAGCGGAACCACAGCTCCTGCACCACCACCACCACCACCAGTTTCCACTGCTGCTCCTGCAAGCGTTACCACTACGCCGTCTTCCTCCTCCAAAACAGCCACACCGCTCGAGCACATCCTGCAGACGCTTTTTGGAAAAAAGAAGACTTTCGAGCCTGTTGCTAAGGATTCTGAAAGTGTCCAGCCTTCAAATAAGGAAAGTCAAGCTGCTGCTGATGGAGGAATGTCAGCTGTTCCTTTGCTAGATCCCATTGTGCAGCAGTTCGGGCAGATGTCGAAAGAGAGAGCTATCGAAGAGGAGGAGGATGACAGACCGTATGATCCCGAAGAGGAATATGGTCCGGAGAAAGCTTTTGAAATGCAGACTGGTGAAAGTGAAAAACTGTACGGTGTGGAAAAGCCATCTAATACAGCAGAACTGGAGGATGAGGCCTACGATCCAGAAGATGAAACTATCTTGGAGGAAGCTAAAGTTACGGTTGATGATTTACCTAACAAAATGTACACAGACACTAAGAGCACTGCGTCGGAAACAGCTGCTTCGTATGTGCCTGACTTACCCGCGTCCTCATCCTTGGTGGAACAGCAAAAAATGTTGGAAGAGTTAAACAAACAAATAGAGGAACAGAAAAGGCAACTGGAGGAACAAGAAGAAGCCCTCAGACAACAAAGAGCAGCTGTTGGTGTTTCTATGGCTCATTTTTCAGTGTCTGATGCTTTAATGTCACCACCACCAAAATCTTCCCTAGCAAAGACTGAGTTATTCCATCAGGAGCAGCAAGCTATGCAAAAAGCAGATTTACCTGTCCCTTTAAATCAGCAAGCGCAAATTTTAAACCAGGGCTGTGACCCAAGGCAGAGCAGAGATCCTCGACAGGCCCGAAGAATCGTGACAGAGACCAATGACAACGTTGATTCTCGAATGAAGCCCCAGGTGGTACGGACTGAGATACCCACAAGAGAAATCCCTCCAGTGAGTTTTCTAAACACTTTGCAGACTTCCCTTGGTAAGGACGATAAAACTTTAATTTCTGCTCCTCAACCTGTTTTTACTGCGGATAATTGGGTTACACCTGAAAAGGCTTCCATGGTGTCCCAGAAAGAGGCGTCTAATAGCAAATTTGAAAACACCATTCAAGTTAATTTGGAAAACATGAGTCAAACAGTTGCTGGAGAACCTTCTATGTCCAAACCTCTACGTAAAGTGCTGCTTCCAACGCCTCCAAGTACATCTTTTCAGCCCAATTTCTCTGCATCAAACGACAGTCATTCTTTGCAAAATATGCATCAAGTGCCATGGTCAAATGAGTCAAAGGAAATAATGGGAAGGGATTCTTTTTCAAATCCAATGTTTACGTCTCAGGAAAAGGCAGCTGGTCACTTTGAACCAGAGAGGGGCCTTTCATCAGTGCAATACAACGAACAAAGAAATCCTCAGTCTCATCAATTTATAGAGCAAACCGAACCTCCATCAGTTCAGAGCGAGGCCGGACCTACCCCACAGCACTTTGAAGAAAACCGAGCTGGCCCTCCGTTTGCTATGCCTGGGCAGAAGGGAGGGCCTCCACTGCCACTGATGGTTAATGCACCTGCAGGACCCCACGGACCTAATTTTAGAGGGCCGGCACCACCATTCGCTGAAGACCATGTTTCTCCAAATAATGACGGGCAAAGAGGACCTCCACCTGGAAGATTTGGAAATCAAAAGGGTCCCATTCCTTCCCTGTTTTCTACACAGCATGGACCACCATCTCTTTTTGGTGATAATAGGGGCCCTGCCCCTTCTTACCATGGTGTTCCAAGAGGAATGTCACCATCTCAGTTTGAAGATCATAGGGAACCTCACATGGAACAAAGGGAATTCGCAGAATCCCAATATAATGAAATGGTTAGGCCTCCGGGACAGTTTGAAGGACCTGATCCACCTCAGTTTATGGGAAACAGAGGACCTTCGCCTTTTCCTTTCGGAGGTCAAAGACGACCCCCGCCAGCTCAGTTTAAAGGACAGAGGGGCGGCCCTCAGTTCGGAGGGCCGAGAGGTCCAGCCCCGAGTCATTTTGGGGGACCAAGAGGCCCTCACCAAAATCAGTTTGAAGAGCAGAGAGGTCCAGCTCCAAATCACATACCTGGTCCAAGAGGACTTTTGCCACAGCCATTTGAAGAACGGAGAGGGAGTCCGCCACCCAGGTTTGCCAACCAGAGAGGTCCAGCACCGCTTCAGTTCGGAGGACCGAGAGGAGCTGCACCTGCCATGTTTCCAGAAGAAAATGAACCTCCTCCTTCTAGATTTCATTTCCAAGGTCAGTCACCACAAGGTATGAAGCCAAGCCCAAGACCACTCCTGGACCTTCCAAGCCATCCACCACCCCACAGAAAAGACATGTGGGAGGAAGCTGGACCATCTGCATCTCTTTCCAATGTTTCTGGACAAGGATCTGAGTCGGAAGGACAGTGGTCAGCATCAGACTTCCGAGAAGGCAAAAATCCCGAATTTAGAGGCCAGCCATTTGAAGGGAGACAGAGAGAGAGATACGAGGGAGGCAGTAAAGACAAGGTTTTAGATCAGCCAGAGCCTCAGCAAGCAGATAATCGACAAGGTAGACCCTTTGAGGAGAGACGAAGGGATCGCGAACACGGCAGACCATGGGAAAGAGACCGTGGCAGAAACTGGAATAGAGACAGAGACTGGGAGAGACACAGGGACAAGGAATGGGACAAAAATAGAGAGAGAAACCAAAACAAAGAGAGAGAGAAGGATTCAGACCGGGCTAAAGAATGGGAAAGAAACCGAGACCGAGAGAGAGCAAGAAACAGAGAGAGAGAATCCTACAGAAGACGTGATAGAGAGCGGTCAAGAAGCAGAGACCGAGATCGCGAGAGAGACAAAGACAGGGACCGGGATCGAAGCAGGGAAAAAGAAAGAGATCGAGAGAGAGATCGAGATCGAGATCGTGAAAGAGGAAAAGATCGCAAAGATCGGAGTAAGAGTAGGGAAACTGGTAAAGATATGAAGCCAGAAATCCCGAAAGAAACTCCGAAGTCAACAGAAGCAGAAGCTCCATCTTCCACTAATCAGTCATAGACTTATGACTGATAGTCTGTTTCCATAAATAATAAACTTTTACCATGGACTGATTTTCTGTATATAGTGTACATTTTCACCATTGCAAATTTGCTATTGTAAAACTAGCCTTACAGAATGGACTGATAAATTAGCAATTTTTGAACAACTGTGAATGAAAATACTCGAACAGATAAAAGGCAAGAACATACTGGACTTTCACTTGCTGCATTTTGTGTATAATGTTTTTCTTATATAAATTCACAGCATTACCTGTACTAAATTTTTGGTTTTTTCTACTTGCATCTTTATCTTAAAATTTCCATTTACGGTACAGAAATGGAAAAAGTCTAAGAAGAGCATATTGCTTTTTAAAATTATAAAGTTATGTTTTCCAGTAACTTGAATTGTAATTTTATATAGGAATTTAATCCAGACCTTAGGAGCCATACCTTTACATCTCATTTACTTCGATATTTTGGTGTCAAAAGTCTTTCCTAGAGCACATGCATTAAAAAAAAACCCCAATGTCGCTGTCTTGTTTATTTTACAACGGGAGGGAGAAGACTGCAGAAGAACAGTGTTAATAATTACTGGTGACTGACAGAGGATTTGAAAATGGAATGTTAGAAGCTTAAAGTGCACTGTCATCCTTTTTCTACACAGGTATTTTGTGGTTTGGAATTCATCTGTTACAGCAAAGAAACAAGTTGTACTTGGGTTTGTTTTCATGAGCCTGAGGGGTTTTAACTGCCACATTTTTACAAATCTTTAATTAAAGAACATGCAAGCCTAGCACCTTTATAACCAGCAAAACTTATGAAAGCATCAGACATTTATTTGGAGAAGGTGAAGACTACAAATGAATTGGTGTACCAAAGGAAAGAAGTTGGTTAAACAGGCCACCAAATCTGTTATATGCATTGAACTGATTTAATATAGCATTCTTCTGGTTTTGTTTTGGTTTTGTAGAATTTTGCCATAGATTTAAGAAATGTTCCAGTTTTATTGTACTTTTCATTCTAAAAGACCCAAAAGTTTTCGGGTTTTTTTCTCCATTAGACCCTACTTAGGCCGGTAGCGTTAGAAATTCCACTGAAAAAGGTAGGACTGCACGAGGCTTGGAAAGAAGGGCGGTGGTACTTCGTGTGATGCGAGAGGGACGTTCTTCCCTGGGAAATACATGACGCTGCTACTTTCCATGTGCTCTCCAAGTACGTCATTCTGAAGTCCGATGCAAAACCCCGCTAATTTATTTGACCCTGTAAATTACCAGCTGGGTAAATATTTTGCTATTTTTATAGAACAGTTTTGGAAACATAAAACGAGATTCCTATAAACGTTTGCGTCTTGGAGACCACATGACGAGTAGCACGTATGCTGTGTATCTCAGCACGGTTCGGATCGGTGCATCTTCCAAGCCCGTCTCCATCCAGGATTCGCCGCGCTCTGAACCTGTCGGCTACGTTAAAATGCAGAGAGGCGGTATTAAATGCAAACATCTACTATGGTGTAAGATTTTTTTCTTAATGAGATGTTTCTAATTTAAAGACATACATAAAAGTATGCAAAAAGTATGTGTGTTTGTTTAGGTTTACTTGATAGAAGTTTCTGTAAATTGTATTTTATATGGCAAAATATATTACTGTACATTAAAATATGGGACTTCACAGGTTTTTGTTACTGTAAGTAGAATAAACATCTACAGAGAACTGTTGTCCTATTCTTAAATCCGTATGGGTGTGTTATTTTCTAAATATTGCTACTTCTCCACAAACCGCAAGGGCCTGACGGCACACGGGTTTCATTGCCTCGCTGGCTAACGAAGATGGTTAACTGATGTTAACCAGCTGATGTTTCACTGTAGGCATTCTAAAAAGAATGTGAAAATCTGTACTTAGTTTTTTGTCTTTCAGTTCTAAAACATCCCCTGATTTATTCTGAAGGGTGGGTTTTTCTTTTTCATTTGAATTGGGAAGTTGATAATTTGTGGATTTTACACGGCACACAGGTTTTATTGCCTCGCTGGCTAACAAAAGAAGATGGTTAACTGATGTTAACCAGCTGATGTTTCACTGTAGGCATTCTAAGAAGAATGTGAAAATCTGTACTTAGTTTTTTGTCTTTCAGTTCTAAAACATCCCCTGATTTATTCTGAAGGGTGGGTTTTTCTTTTTCATTTGAATTGGGAAGTTGATAATTTGTGGATTTTACACCACAAACTCTAAAGAAAAGGTCAGCTTTGGACGTAAGAAAACCTGAATTCACACCATTCATGAACTCCTTGACTTTACATTGTTACGAAATAGATTTGTGGCTTTTCATCTTGTAGGAAACACTCCCTTATCACAGATCAGTTTGGGGAATCTGCGCAGAGTTAGGAACAGCAAATTCATCCTCCCGCAGATGTAGCAGCATATAGACAGACACTAATTACTTATTTTGCTGAAACCACAGCTTTACGTAATTACAATGACCGGGGTTTTGCAGCAAGGCTCCTGCGTTCTGCACTGCAGCAGACAGTAGAAGCTGGGCTGAAAAGAACATCACAATTTAACGAGACTAAAAATGGGACTGGATTTTGATCATGCGTGGCAAGAAAAACAATTCTCTGGCTTTGTTCAGTTTTGATTAACGTGAACTCACTTAAGATTCTGAGCTTTCATCTGTGTTTCTAATAAGCTGAATTAACTTTCCGAAGAGTATTTTGCTAATTTTTTATGTAAAAGCCTCTGAAAGGTCTAGAACAATGTAAGCTGAACAGCGGGTTCCTCCATAAAAGACTGATATTCCAGCTATATGCATTCTAGAGGAGAGCAGGCAGGAGTAGAGGAGCACGAACGAGTCCAAAGTGCACAAAATGCTTCTGAAGCGTCTGTTTCTGGAGGGAAGTCGCCAGTGGAACTTTCAGATTTGGCTACACCTCACGTCATACGGTTCACTGCGACATGGGGAGTGTGTGTGCGTGCTACCTCGATTGAATATGCACATTAAATACTCATTATTATACTGCATCGTCACCAAATAATGCAGCACACAGGTTTTATTTTTAACCTCCTGAAGGGAATAAAGATTCTGTAAAGTATTGAAAGAGGTTTGTTATTTTTATGGTGTTCATGAGCTAGAGTTTTATGCTTTTTGCTCTCTGGCTTGTTTCTAGAACGTGCCTTCTGGGAGCGGAACCTGCTTTTGGTACTACAGCACGTAACCAGTTGCAGACAAGTAATAGACTGAAGGTACCAATGGCTCCTCAGCGCGAGGTGGTCTGTGGATCTATCCCTCTGGATTAGCTTCCTACCAACAGTTTTTGAACACTGACAGACTACTGAAGTGTTCAGGTCATTCAGCCTTAAAGAAACCCAGGGCTCCAGGCTCCGGTGTAGCTGTGCGGGATGTAGGGAAGAGCCTCCTGCCCCCAGTGCTTCACAGCAGCATTCTTGGGGGGAAAAAACCAACAAAAAGGGGGAAAAGCCTTTATCCTGCAACAATGAAATAAAACACAGGTGTCGATTTCAAGCCACTGTGGGTTTTTTCTCTCACCGTTTCCCTTCGGACTACCTGTGCTCTCCGTGGCTACGGATAACAAGGAGCAGGACTGAGCGGTGCTTGAATCCAGAAAGACTGAGGGATGTGACATAAGGTCAATCACCTGTGAGGTGCTGGGGGCCCCGGCCAAGCTTTCTGGGGAGGATTTTTAAACTTCTGGGGGTGGCTCAGCCCACGCACCCACCGCCGCTCCCCAACGGGCGAGCTCTGCTGCCCCACTCCCCGACGGCAGCAAACCCGACTCCTGCGGGCTGCCTCAGCCGCCTGGCTGGAAAAGGTCCCTCGGCATTGGCGTTTCAGGAGGAAGTACAGGCTGGGTGGAGAGTGGATAGAGAGCAGCTCCGAGGAGAAGGACGTGGGGGTACTGGTAGATGAAAAACTGAACATGAGCCGGCCGTGTGCGCTGGCAGCCCAGAAGGCCAACCGTATCCTGGGCTGGATCCAGAGAAGTGTGGCCAGCAGGGCGAGGGAGGGGATTCTGCCCCTGTACTCTGCTCTGGTGAGACCCCACCTGGAGTGCTGCGTCCAGCTGTGGAGCCCTCAATATCAGAAGGATATTGACCCCTTGGAGCAAGTCCAGAGGAGGCCACGAAGGTGATCAGAGGGCTGGAGCACCTCTGCTATGACGAAAGGCTGCGAGAATTGGGCTTGTTCAGCCTGGAGAAGAGGAGGCTCCGAGGAGACCTCATTGCAGCTTTCCAGTATCTGAGGGGGCTACAAGGGTGCTGGGAGAGGACTTTTTACAAGAGCCTGTAGTGATAGGACAAGGGGTAATGGGTACAAATTGAAATCAGGGAGGTTTAGGTTAGATATCAGGACGGAATTCTTCCCAGAGAGGGTGGGGAGGCACTGGGACAGGTTGCCCAGAGAAGCTATGATGCCCCATCCCTGGATGTCTTCGAGGCCAGAATCCTGGCGGAAAAGCGGCGCCGTGGGCCTTGCTGCATTCACGCTCCCGGGAGGCTTCGCCCGAGGATGGGAGAGGGCGAGTTGTAGGGAGACTCCCCTCTTCCCTCTGGGCGTTTCGCCCCCGGCCCGGGCTCCACCACCCGCCCGGCCGGTTTCCCCCAGCCCGCCC